AAGTGGAACTCGAGCTACCAAGTGAAAGTGACTACACCCACCCCACCCGCGTGCGTAGCCAGCACTCGTTCGTTAAGACCGTCTCTCTCTTTCTATAGTTGTCGACATTGTTGCCGTTGTTGACGGTGATTCACAGAAAAGGTAATAAATTTGGAACAAACCGAAGAATTCGCATAACCTTACGGAAGGTTGCACTTTTTTGCACGCAATTATTTTCCGCACGCTTGATAGTGCGGAAAGTAAAAAATGTTAAATTTATAAATGGAAACTTAAAATGAAAGCTTGTAGACAAAATATTGTACCTAACACGCGCGGAAGGTGTCCTTTTCGCAATGAACGGCAGTCGCGTGCATAAAAGTAGCATTATAACTATTATTATAATCTTATAAAAGTTTAACTTATTTATTACGGGTAATTCTGGGATAATCATAAAACAATTTTCAATTTTCACACAATTTTCTTAAAAAATCAAAAAATTTCATACACAAATTTTAGGGGTAATTGTACAGCGCAAAGTACGAGGTGTGTTCAGAAAATATCGGGAATGTTCGTTTTTGAAACAAATATTTATTTATTCGTCTACATTAATGTTGTCGCCTTCAAAATAGTCCCCATTGGATATTATGCACATGTGCCAGCTCTTCTTCCAATACTCGAAACACTTCTAAAACTCTATCTTTGGGATAGCCTTTAGTTCTTTCAGCGATGCGCTTTAAATGTCATCTATGCTTGCAAACCGACGGCCCTTTAAGGTTCTCTTTATTTTTGGGAATAGGAAAAAGTCAGACAGAGGCATGTCTGGAGAATATGGAGGCTGGGGCATCATTACAGTATTGTTTTTGGCCAAAAATGTTGTTCAAAATTTAACAATTTTTTATCAAATTTTGCTGCCACGCGTTTCATACCCAAAACATTCGAAAAAAATTCATGGGATGAGCCAATCGATATACCAACATCATCAGCGACTTCTCTGATGGTTTATAACCATTTCTTCCACTTTTTCCATGTTTTTATCGGTTGTTAATGCGCTTGTGCGTTCGGGGCGTTCGTCATCTTAAACGTCTTCACGGCCATCTTGGAAACTCTTATACCACTTGTAAACTCTTGTTTTACTTATAGCAGACTCACTATAGGCCTTTGTTAACATTTCACAGAATTTATTTCATTTTTTAAGCAAAATTGGATACAAATTCTTTGATCCATTTCTTTTCCCTAAATGAAACGAGGGCCTCACTAGGAATCCCTTCTAGTTTCCGACTAGTCATGTAATTTAAATGGGGAACTAGTAGGGCGCTATCTAGTTTCCCCAAATGAAACGAGGGGCTCACTAGGAATCCCTACTAGTTTCCGACTAGTCATGTAATGCTTTTCCTGGTAGGGAACTACTTGGGTAAAGCTGGTATACCAGATTTAAGCTAAGTTTTCTATACATAGAAAACTTAGCTTAAATCTGGTTTGGAATATTTATGAATCTTTTTAACGAATAATTCAGTAGAAAAAATTGTTTTATTAGATTTAAATATATTTACATTTTCACTTTTTTTATCTTTAGGTCCTGCCCCCAGTCCAGTCTTTGGAGTTGGGCAGAACATCGCTTAAACCTTTTATGATTTCTTTTGCCGTAAGCCTTGTTTATCCAGTGGTTTTTGTCCATCAATGAAATCTAAAATTTTAAGGCAATAATTAATAAATCGGCATTAAATCGAACGATACCGTTCTTGATCTGCTGCTATTTTAGCAGCTCTGAGTTTGCGTCTTGTCTTCCTTACGTTTAAAATTTTCCTTTTCCTCTTCAGAGCTGCTTGAGGAAGTAGAAACGGACGCCTTTTTTCCATTTTCGTAATAAATAGAGCACAATTTTAATCAATAAACTTAAGTTTTGATTTAATAAACGTGGTAACCATAAAGCACGAGAAGGAATAATGACGTAAGCAGGTTTAGCAACATGGATAGGTATACCTATCCATGTTGCTAAACCTATAGGTATTAGAAATTTCTTTATTATCTGTAAAATCGTGGTGCCATCTAGTAAGAAAAGGGAGTATTACGATGTGATCTTGAGAACGGGACGCAAATATAATAAAAAATTATTTAAAATATTAACAAATTTTGTTTGTCCATTTGATTTCTACACGCCTGTCAGGGCCGCACCAAGTGTTTTTGCCGCCGGGTGCAATTAAAAGCTTGCCGCCCCTTAAAGGAAAAAAATCTTAAAAACACTATTTTAACATAATAAAATGCTCCGTGTTGTCGGTTTTTGGTTCTTAAAAGAACCGTATGTCTGACGACGTTTCGGTACAATCTCATGTACCATCTCCAGGTCTTATCTGCTGGGCTGCTGTTGCTGCTCTGCTGCAAGTTAGACGTGTAACGTGTAACATTACAAAATAATTTACTAAAACTAGCCTTAAAAGTTAGGTTTTGCTTAGCTAAAAATTTAACAACCGATATAATTCTTTCTAAAACAGATCACCATTTTTTCTGTTCACTGTTAATTTGTTTTTCCTGTAAATAATCTATTGTTGAGCCACACTTTAATGAAGTTTGTAATTGAATCATTTTTTTGCAACATTTAATATGATCATTAGAACTTTCATGTCGGCTTAAGGTTCGCGATAAATGTTGCCAATCTCGAAATCCATCTAGCCCCAAAGAACTAGATGCATTCCCAAATAACTTACATGGGAAACAAAACACAGAGTATATTTTTTAGAATATCCAAGTGCGTTGAACGGATTCACTATTTGGTAAAGTTTTTAAAAAATATTTATTTCAATAACTTCTAGTGCTAGCGTCTTTGGGATAAGTTGTTTTCATATTTAGTAGGTTACCCTTTTCTACTAGCATTAACCTTATTTTGTCAGATGGTGTAGACCATGCACTTGGATCAAAATCAATTTTAATATTAAAAAGTTTACCGTCACTTTCTGTGTTGGCTCGGCCCTGACGCCTGTTAAATAAACCCCCTCAACTAAGGTTAGGTTTAAACTATAAAACATCTTTACACATAAAGCAATAACTTACCGTTATAAAAAGTATCAAGCACCTTTCTTTATTTTTCAATATTTTCGCACTCACATAGCGTTTAATTTTTTTTTCGTTTAATTCAATCCATTCTAAAAGTAAGAATGATTTTCCCTACATTTCCTTACAAGTTTATGGTGAGGAAAACTAGACTCAGCCTAGACTGGAATTTAATGAGGCAAACTAGATGTGAACTAGTCAGTCGGAGCCGAGTCACATTTAGACAAGTTTTACTGGTTAGTTCCTAGTCGGGGCCTATCTAGTTTTTCCATATTTCAACCCAACCAGCGCCCCACCAGTAGTGAGAAAAACTGGACAATTTTTTCTACCAGGGTTGTATACAAAAGTGCTCTTTTAGTTCCACCCTTACTTCCTAAGAAGTACCAAAAGCTAAACGATTATGCGGGTTAGGGGTAGGAACGGACCTCGGGCTTAAAGTCCCCTCCCAAGGACTAATACTCATTAATATTTTATAATTAATTAACAAGTTCTACGCCTTTAAAAAAAATTAAAAGTATTGTACTATCCACCAGCAAACCAAAAGTTACTTTGCAACTTCAGGAAGGCTTTCTGGGTATATACTATAGTCGCAAACAAATGGGTCACACTATAGTGTGACCCATTTGTTTGCGACTCACCCCTGTAAAATCTTTATTTATTTTGCGATTTTAACCGGATTTGTTTTAAAGTGTAGATCTTTATAAACTGTATTTTTGGAGCAAAGTTTTATTTATACAAAATACATGTCAGATTTTGAGGAATTTTAAGGAATTCATATTATTTATTATATTTATCTTTTCATAGCTTCCCACTAATTCAAAATCATAAATTGTTTGTAAAATATTCAAATGCGTTAATATAGCAATGTTTTCTGATATTTTAACAGCGTTCAAATCATTGCTATATTTAAGTCGGAACTGTGTTTTTCCAAATCTCCTGTTGCCATGCTAGGACTGACTGTCCAGAAAGGAATTGAAAATTATCAGAGCTGTTTGATGGTTTTAAAACCGCCAATTTATTTGAATACATGGGGCACCCATTATCGAGCAAAGTATCCTTCTTTGTACTATACTTCTATGGGTATTTTTTTTTATTTGAGAGCTATACCTTTTAATAGGCTTTTAATAGGCTTGTACTTGTAGCACTTCAAATAAAAAAATACCCATAGAAGGATACTTTGTGCACCCTACATAAATGTATTTGTTGCTATGGTACTAGGGTCTTGTAATGTTCATTAATGTTAATTTTGCTAGCATAAATTCCTACTAGCAACAAAAAAATAGTTTGTGTTGCTAAAGAAAATTGTATTAAGTAACAATGTTATTGTTAGATTCCGCATTGTTTATTGCGTTTCGATTAGGAAATATAAATTTTCTCGTGGCTGGGCCAACAAATATGGAAATATTAAATGTTTATTTTTCCTTTCCCTGAATAATAAAAAGAAGTTCATTTTTAATAAGATAAATAATGATATATAATATATAGTTTATAGTTTGTGTGTTTAATTTAAACTTTATTTTTTAGAATTACCAAGTTTCTAAAATTATTAACAGTTTTCCAAATATTGTTGTACATTTTAAAGACAAAACCATAAAAAATTAAGATCAAACAGTGGTGCCTTGTTTTTCCAAAGTAACATTAATTTATTTAGATATTAAAACAATAAACAAATTTGTAACATGGCATTACTGTAATTTTATAAGTGGCTCCTGGATATTCATCAAATCATTAAAAGAGACTGCTGCAGGTTACAATTTCATTTTTTGTTTGCAAATTTATATATCAATTTTATCTTACGCAACTTGTCGATTCGATAGCCGCAATAAAGAGGTAACGGGACACAGTGAATTAACATTCAAAAAAGGCTCTTAAGTATTACATATCTAGCCTACTCTATTTTTTTTTACTATTGTGTTATGAAAGGTAAAATTAAAGATAGTTTTTACTGTAATAAATTTATTTTATTGTTTGTTACAGTTGCGGTGTTATTCTATAATACCATTTATAGATGAAAGAAAACTCCATTATTAATAAACTATGCACTAGTACGTTCAACACTCTAAACTTAAGAATTTTTATAAAATAATATATTATGGAACTTAAATAATAAATTTTGTACAAAACATCAATTTTTAAAAAATAACTTTGGTTCAATTTGACTTTTCCAAACAAAATTACCTTCGATATATTATAAACAAATTAAACATCATGCTTATATAATATTTTTAACAAAGTTTTACCTAATATTTACAAACTGCTATATGGTCACACAGTAATCTGTACATACACAATTCCTTACGAAACTATTCACTAAAAATCGAAAACATTGTGCCAATAGGGGATTAAAAGTGCATTAAAATGTTTAGAAAATTGACAAAACTTGTGTAGGAACTTTACAAAATATTAATAGACCCAAGAAAACAAGAATTATTTACAATAAATAACTATTTACTAATTATATATTTTGATTACCACAGGTATAGTAGTCTTTGAGAAATTGCGTTAAAAAGATTATCACTAAGTAGAAACCTCTATTGTATGATCGTTGTTGTTCAAAATTTCATCATGGGTTTTAAGCTGTTTTATTGAAGATACCTCGGATTCGGAATCAACTTCGGTATCTTCATCATCATCTTTACCAACGACATCGATAACATGTTGAGAGGATAACGGTGTATATACACGCGACTCGTTATAGAACTCTGGTCGGTTATATGTAACTTTATCCATGAAAGTCCGTATTTCATCGAAACAAGCATCTTCTCTATCGTTTCCATTGCTACTCCCTGGTGAATCGGCCACAGCCACACCTCCATTCCCATCGTCAGTTTCATGTTTTTTCAAGTGCCTATCTAGGTTTGTTTGCTGACCAAAACATCTCTCGCACAGCGGGCATTTGAAAGGCTTCTCTTTGTTGTGAATATTCCTTACATGCCTCTGCAAGTTACTGGAAATACTGAAAGATCTTTCACAGTATCTGCATTTGTACGGTTGCTCGCCAGTGTGCGTTCTTAAATGCCTTGTAAGATTGGCAGAACGCGGGAACACTTTGCCGCAAAACTTACAAGCGTATCTATCCTTCATTTTTCCCTGGCTTTGCTGTTGGATAACATCGTGAAAAGGCTTGACGTTCGTGAAGTTCGGTCGAAGCAGGTCAAAGTTCCTCTGGGGTGGCAGTGGGTTCATGTATTGAAAACGATGGTTGAAATGGGAGAATAATCTGTCGTTGTTTTGTGGTTGGTAATTGTGGAAATTTGGTCTGTACATTTCTAACATCATTGGGTGTATTGGTCGTGGGTATGCCATAGGTGGGTTAATCGGTAGTTTATCTAGCTGACTTTTTATTTCTTCTCCATTATCCTGTATTTCCATGGTTTCTTCTTTAGGAGTTACAGGTGGCGTTTGAGGTTTATAAACTTCCTGTTTAACTTCCTGGTGTTTTTCCTCAAGCCCAGGAGATTTTTTCCAAGTGCAGCTTAAGTCTAAAGGTTGCTCTCCTTCATCGTTACTCATTTTATCCATTTTAATTGATTCTTCATCTTCTAAACCCATTAATTTTGCTCTAGGGTGCGACAATATATTTGGCCTTGCTGGTGATGGTGTAAGGTTAGCTTCTTCAGCCGTGGGTGGACTAACTTTTGCGGGTGGGTTACTTAACCGGGGTGGTGTAAATCTATCTTTTACCGGTGAAAATCTTTCTGGGCTCAATTTAATTTTCTTTATTGGGACTTGTTCTGGAAGCTCCTTCTTTAACTTTGACAGTGAGTTAAAGTATAGTGGATTCAAAAATGCAGCTGCGTTTGAGTGTGAAAACATTTGTGGGTATTGAAAACTTGGTGGAAAGAAAGGTAAGGGGCAAGGTGGTCTATACATTGGAAATTGATTATTATTTACCATAAGAGAACAAGGTAATTGGGTTGGTGATGATATTGATGGTGATTGCAAAGTTTTGTCGCAAAAATGTTTGTGCTTCGATAGAGATGTCAAGGTAGAGAAAGTTTGTGAGCACTTAGTACACTTAATCTGCATTCGGCAATCGGCGTGCATGCGTTTATGACGGCAAAGATTCGAGAACTGCGTGTAGCTCTGAAAAAAAATATATTAGTAACAAATCACTTTTTTTACCATTAATTCTTACCTTAAAGCAAACCTCGCACTGAAAAGGCTTTACGCTGCTGTGAATATGTGTGTGTTGTTTCAACCCAGAAGAAGTTTGGAATGTTTTTCCGCACTCGGGACAAGCGTGTGATCTGGCGCCAACGTGATGGGTTCTAATGTGCCTCTGAAGGTTGCTTGGATCAGAAAAAAATTTAGGGCAGTTTTCGCAATGGTACTTTTTTACTTCTCCGTGTTCCACAGCACGGTGTTTTATCAAACAAGTTCTATGCGAGTACGCCTTTGGACACAGCTCGCATCTAAATTCGTCTCTGCGGTGATTATGTTTGGAGATAAGGTGCTCATCTAGCCTGAAAAAAAAAATCGATTAAAATTTACAATTTTTACCTAACAAAATATAATTTTTAAGTTAAAATATTGTATTTAAGGTACAGTAAATTAGGTTACGCTACTGAGCACCCACTTAATTAAACATAAGCGTAAGTCATATCTAACTGAAACGATCAAAAATAAAAAACACCAAAGTATTTGTACAAACATTGAACTAGGTGACGTGATGTTCAACGAATTTGGATTTAATATTTATAAAGCCAACAACGGCAAACATTTTATGAGCTATATTTATTTACTTTAACATACATTTATTAAAGCAATGAACATGTTTTAATAAATTATATATAATTAAAATCAATAGTGAAGAGTTTTAAAGAATGATTCAAAACATCGACAGTATAAATTGTTTTTTAGTACATTTGACTAAATATTAAATTATCTTTGTGTGAAGTTTCAGGTGGTACTAATACATGTATATCGTGTGAATATCATATAATTTATTAATTGCCTATATAGACAAGTGATGATTAATCTAGTGGTATAGCAGTAAAATGTTTTTTTTATTGAATTGAATATAAATGTATAAAAATTACTATACGTAATACATAAAATATTATTCCCAATAATTTTATTTTGAGGTAATAAAACTATTTTAATATGTGTTTTTTGTGTTTAAAATTTTGGATAAAAAAATTGATATACATTTAAAGTAATTACTTCACTAATTTTTATAGTTTGTAATATTTATACCAAAAGCAAACAATAATAAATATTTAAAAACTTACTTGTCTATTTCAGTGTAAACTTGATCACATCCATAACATCTTAATTCTAATTCATCCTCCTCTTCATCAAATTGTTCATCTGCTTTTTCACTGTGTTGAGAAGCTAAAATAATAAAAATAAATAAATAACAAAAACCTAAATGCAAAAAATAAACAACTTAGAAATCTTTTGACCCATTAACGCACCTTTATTAAAAACCGCAACGATTCCCTTAAAAACGCACAAACTAATCCACAGGTTACTAACATAAAACTAAACAATATACAACAAATACATATTGCACCTAACTTCTGCACCCCCATTGGACTATAATATGCTATCTCCCTTGCACCCATTAAAAAAATACCACTAAACAAGAAGGGTAAAAGGGTAAACGTCAAACGTAGCGAAATGATTTGATTAACCCCCATGTAGTAAAAACGATGTCATTAGTGGGGGGTGACTTCCGTTCCACCCACCCGATATTTTCTGATTGATAAGTGATTTTTGTTGTTATAAAAATATTTACAACGGTTTTTGTAAATAAGTGGATTTTGTTTAAGAACGTCTCTAAAAAAGAAATAATCAAAAATGACCAGTTTTCATAGAGAAAAAGCAGCCACCAATAACTGTAGTCCACAGCAATTTGTATTCTGGTCATTTAACAATAAATTCTTATTTAAAATTGTCAAATTATGAAAGTAGAGCCGTTTTTGAGATATAGTCAATTCCATATTATATGGAAAATTTGTACATAGGAATTGACTGCTTTAAAACATGTCTATAGTTTTTTTTTGTTGTTAATGGTAGAATATATTTCATCCTGTATTATAATTAATTTTATTACAAATATTCCATAAATTTCTCTTTAAAGCCACGTATATTTTTCTAGAAAACCATTTTCTCACAATATCAAATATTTAAATTTATAATGTCACCTGTGACTTCAGTATGTTACAATATTGTTCTGCTAAAGTAACTCGGAGCATATCTCCGTAACGAACAGGTGGGTACTTGCAAGTAAACCACCCATATTTCGGCAAGTCAAATGCCATAAGGCACATACGTTGAAGTTTTAACGTTTTAATTTAATTAGTCTTTGTGGGAACCTCTTTGTATATTTTCTGTTTCAACGAATGTTGAGATATTAATTTTAAGGTGACGGTTGCTTAGGTGTGAAAAAGTATAATTTTTAATGGAGTTTGCATACCAGGGTATGTTTTTAATAATATTAGTAAAACTTGTTTTAAAAATATTGATATATTTGTATAAAAACATTATAAACAAAAAATGCATTCCATGCAATGTTACAGTATGCAGTTGTAGAGATAATACAACTGAACATTTTTGACTGACATAATATTATGTATCAAGTTTGATAAACGACATTTTAGTCACGAATTTAATTTAGGCACGAGCCAGCTAGCGAGCGAGTGTTTAAGTAAATGAGTGTCGTTTATAAACAAGTTGCATACTAAAGTTTTTTTACGCAAATACTTATTATTATTGAAAAATGATTTACTTAAATTAAATATTTGTATAAAGCGATATCTATAAAACAATAGAGAAACCATTTTAACTTGTGTTCTGTGTGGAATGTCAAATGTCAAATTTGTACGTGTAAATCAAAATTTATCCCTTGAAAATGTTTTATGGGCACGGTAAAATCTCTAAATCTAGTTAAATTACGGATAAAATATGTAATATTTCCACAAACACTATGGTGTTTCAAATAAACGCATAAATTATTACGGTTTACAGAATAAAACGTAAATATTTTACAGAATAAAACGTTGGCTATTCTGTGGCCAACGTAATATTCTGTAATTTTTTTAATTGTGTACGTCTTCAAAGGACTTATATATCGTAGCAACCCTTAGCGTTCTTGATTCCTTTCTTTTACCCAGTGAACTATATATAATAGGATTGAAACAATATTTAATCGCTCCACTTATTGCCACGTTTTGCGGTTACTTAAACGAAAGAACAATTTTACTTCAATGGTTTTGTCATCCTTAAGGGAAATAAAATATCGTTAAAGGAATCAATTTTTTTTTGACAAGCACGCGACCAAATTGTTCGTGATTTACCCAGACCGGAAGACGCTGACCATATCCGGCATCTGCCTATTTATTTTTTTTGACTCCACTTGACACATTAATTGTCGTGGCTTGGGGTGATTTATTCGTAAACAGGATACAGATTTATAGGAATAGACAAATTTTACCCTCACCTAGATAATAAGTGTATTTTTAAGAGAGCATAAAAATACTTTTTAAAAATTGATTGCTTTAATCCATAAAGTACGCAAAGAAATTATAAATGAAACGGAAGTATAATTGGCCATATATTTAGCTTAAATTAAGATGTGTTGAGTAATAGTTTTTGGGGTCGCCAAAAATTACGACCATTAACACCATCAGCAAGGAATAAAATGCAACATCAATCATGGGGTTACCGCCCGAACACAACAAAATAATTTAACCCTAAACGTGCTGTTTATCTATAATATGACGCAAAAATCCGTGACTCTCAGCATCTGTCCCTTCGTACAATTACTCCATTACTCACAATAAAATTCTATTGGTCATAAATAACGTTTGACGTACGACATCTCCATTCGGGAAAAGGGTTCCCAGATCGACGTGGCCATGGTAATCCACACACGTGACCGTTATAAGGCAACTACGATTGTTTATTTTATTTTGACACGTGTATATAAAATTAAAGATAAATTTACATGGAAATCAAATGTTTGAAGCATTTGACCACAAGAAACTGTCCTGTTTATTATGTTTTAAATAGCCCATGGTGGTTTTGGGATAAGATAACATTTATTTGTATTAATTATTTGTATTGAAAGTTTCAATTTGAAACAAGGGCCCATATATACTTGTAAAAATATTTATTTTCAATTTTTGGAAGAAAAGTCACTTTTCATTATTTCTTCTGCTTGTTATATAAATACCATTCAAGATGAGAAACTTCTATTTTGTTATACAGGGTGCGCAAAAAAATACAATTGTAGATTTTGCAAAATTAAAAATTGTTAAATATATTTTTTGAAGGTCTAATATGAAGAGCTTGTAGGGAGAAACCAAAAAGCCAAATAAAGTTTCAAGTCAGGTCCTAACTTGAGTGGTCCTATTATTTTCTAGAAATTGACTGCTATCTCATCTCTTATTTGTTAAAATTTGAAATTAATATCTTAAATTTTCAATATCAAATATCTTAGTACCAAAAACTCATATTAAAAAACTTTATTTGATTTTTTGATTTCTCCTTACCAACTCTTTATATTAGCGCATTAAAAATTTTTAAATTTTGAAAATCAGTATTTTTGCTCACCCTGTACAACTAAATGGATGTTTCTCAAAGCGAATCGTATTCATATAACAAGCAAAAAAAATTATGAAAAATGACTTTCTCGAAAAATTGAAAATATTTTTACAAGTATAGTTAAGTCCATCCGTGGACACACTGTATATATATTGGGGTGCTTCATTTTAGAACGACATTTTTTTTTCAAAGTCCCACCTGAAAATCTTGTAACCGGTCAGAAAACAAAAATTTTGAGCTATTACAATGCTCTTAATCTTTATTTTAAGCTGTTGCTATTCAATTTTCAAATATTTCCCTTTAAAAACCATTAATAAACAATGTTTTATTCTTTTCTCCTTCCGCTCGTACAGTAAGAATATTTTTTTTCGAATTTCGGTTCTAAAATCTTTATACAGGATGAAATTATCTTAAAAATGTCTATTTAAGCAAGTCTGTATGTTGAATATGTTCTTCACAAATTGCCGTTCTACTCGAAAATCTTCTAAAATAGCAGTAAATCGTATTAGGAGACTAAACTTTTGATTGTAGATAAAAAACGTAAATGACAATTTTGTAGGGAATTTTGTGCCCTACAATTTTGTCACAAAATATTTTTCTGTTAAAGTTTAGCTTGTACAGAAAGTGTCAAATTCTTTCTGAATACAGTAATAACTTGAAAGAGTGGCTGTACAAGCTAAACTATAAGTGATACAGAAAAATATTTTTTACAAATTTGTAGGGCGAAAAATTCCCTACAAAATTGTTATTTACGTTTTTTATCTACAATCAATAGTTTAGTCTCCAAATACGATTTACTGCTATTTTAGAAGATTTTCGAGTAGAACGACAATTTGTGAAGAACATATTCAACTTACAGACTTGCTTAAATGGACATTTTTGAAGATAATTTCATCCTGTATAAAGATTTTAGAACCGAAATTCGAAAAAAAATTCTTACTGTACGAGCGGAAGAAGAAAATAATAAAACACTGTTTTTTAATGGTTTTAAAGGAAAATATTTGAAAATTGAATAGCAACGGCTTAAAATAAAGATTAAGAGCATTGTAATAGCTCAACATTTTTGGTTTCTGACCGGTTATAAAATTTTTAGGTGGGACTTTAAAAAAAAATGTTGCTTTAAAATGAAGCACCCTAATATATATATATATATACAATTTACCATACATCCATGTATAATTTATATACATGTATATACTATTGCAATATAATATATATAAAATCATTATAATATTTTATATTTTTATAAATTTAAGGTGTAAAAAGAAAAATGATTTTGTTCATTTTTGAAAATTAAGCTTTGTGAAAAAATGTTATTTTTTAAACCTTTAGTTCTTCTAAAAAAACATAACTCATAAACTCTCACTGGTCAATGAAGTGGTAGTTAAAATCTGGTAAAATTTGTAAATAAACACCCAAACAAAGAAAATTGTTAAAAACCGTAAACCCATTTAACAATAATTACCAGTTTTAGGTGGATTTTAACAGCAATCAGTAAACATGCCAAGGGGGTCAAATGTCAGGTGCGTATACCTGGACATCTGCCCCAACCCCTCAAACGTTAAATATTCATCGCAACCGTAAAACAAGTGAAGTTATAAAACATATGGCACGAGATATCACTGCCATCTTTGACGGTATCGCGCAGGAAACAGATGAAAAGTTTTTAATGAATTGAATAACTGATTTCCAACATCTCCGGATTAAATTGTCCGAAATAATCCGGCCAAGTCAAGTTTGTGCGATTGAAAACCGTAGTGCACTAGATGTAGATGTAATGCACAGTTAAGGGGTATTAGAGGGTATTTTTTAAGGGTTGCGATATCATTTTAAAATGTTTATCAAATGCACAGCTGGAATTAATCGGATTTATGACGGGGTTGTGTATGATATTCGTCACCTTTTGTAGTTTTGGGTTGCGTGGGGTTGTTTTCCCGCATAACATGTCTATTCTTTGTTAGCGTAATGGTGCTATGGTCCATGTACATATGTATTTAAGGCGTGTGCGAACTTTATTAGCAAACTGTGTGGCGAAGCTGATAAAAAATGGTTTATTAGCTCAATGAAAAAATGGAAAAAGCATTATTAATAGTATAGAATGCTAACAAGACCGATAAAGATTTAAATATTTGTGTAATGAAATCATAAAAAAATAATTTCTATATATTTTATTATTTACCTGTTTCTCTTTCAGCTGAAATGGCTTCTCCATACATGTCCTGAAGATTCAAAGGCTCCTTTGCAAGAATTAACTCGGTTCCCAGAGATATATTTGAACATGTTTCGTACCATAACTATAATAGTTTCAACAAAAATTATATACTTTTTTGCTTAAAATGTTATTCTTTTTGATATTAAAAGCCTCGTATTGTGAAATCAATAAAAATCCCACAAAAACACGTATGAAACCCTTCTCGGCTATCGTGTCATCAAATTTTCATTTTATGCTTATAAATTAATAATCGTATTGTTAACTCGATCGCGCTGGCCGCGACAATTACACACGCGATATTTACTGTGAAATATATCACTTTTTTATATTTTTGATCATCAATAATCCTATTGTTTAATGGAGTTTTTGTGGTATTGTCATCAATTAGAGTAGATAGATTAAAGTTAAAATAAGGAGAATTTTTTAATAAAAATTGATTTGAAAAAAGTTTTAAATGGAAAAAATTCAAAATAATGTATTATACTATAATGGGTATACAGGGTGCACCAAGTATTTTTCTATGTGTATTCTTTATATTTTTTTTATTTGAAGAGCTAAGGTCGGTTAAATAAGAGAAAATTAAAACTAAATTTATAAATAAAAAAAAGGCAAAATATTAAAAAAAGGTGTCAAAACCAAAAAATATTATAACTTCCTTGTTCCTGTGAATTTTGAAAAAAGTAAGTTTTACAGAAAAACATTAACACATAAATCTTAATTTTTATTCAATTTCTTTTGCTACAAAATTTTAAGTTACCATCGCCATATTTTGTGTGCGGTAATTTTTTTTCTGTCTAGCAATGTTAAATTTCAATATAGCGGCCATAGGAAAACAAAAGATTGTGATGGTAACTCCAAATTGTAGGGGGGAAACATCACAAATTGAATACAAATACAGGTTTTCAGTATTATCATTTGAGAACTGTTTTTTTTTTCATATTTTAAATGCCATTTTAATGGACTTTATGCAACTTTTCTCCAATTTAACCGACCTTGTAGCTCTTGAAATAAAAAAAAATACCCATACCTAGAAGTATACCCTCTATAAAATTTAATTTTAGGGTGATTCGTTTTAAAAAAACTTTGTTTTTGCACTCTCTCAACAAAATATTGTATATACATATATATAGAAAAAAATAACTTAAAGTTTCAGCCCTGAATCATGCTCTTACATACCTATAGGTATACTTATAAGTACTTTAATTTTGATATTTTCATTGAAATAACAGAACATTTTTCTGCATTTTACATAGGTACGATTTGTAGATGATAACATTCTCTTTAAAAGTACTTGCAGCAATTTTACTACAACTCATTTATTTCGACCTGTATTCGTTACCAAAGTAATATTTTTAATTAATTAAATAACAGTATTTTTTGCATTTTACGGCAAAACGGTTACATTTAAAAGAAAAAAGTATTAAAAACTTTTATAGGAAATTTAATTTTCTACAAAAAGGTCCTATGCTTTAATGCAATAAATTACGTAGTAGCGTAAAATATCGCCAAGTTATAGGAAATTACAAAAAATCAAAAATTTGTTGTTATTTTTACGACAAAACCTATAAAAATACCTACTTAGGATTAAGATGAAACTTTAAGGAATTTTTTTTTGACATATCCATTCATATTTTTCTGTAAGAGTGAATTAATTAATTTTTGTTTAAAAGAATTACTAGTATTATTATATATTAGATTTTTCCAAATAGCAATAACTATTTAGAAATTTCGAAAACCTAAATAATATGTGTAAAATGCGAGTTTTAAAAGGTTTACTTTAAAATGATTATATTTTTAAAAAATTATTAAGGTTTTTTAAAAGTAATTTAAAATTTACATTTCTCACCTCTCCTCCTTGCAAGAAATAACGAACATTTATTTTAGGCTCGTTAAATCTAATAAGTTTTAACCAATTTTGTTCATATACTGTTCCATCAAGCCATCCTTTGACACCTTTGTCTGCAACAACCTAAAATAATAAATATTTAAAAATTAATTCATTAAAATTTAATCCATATCCAAATAAATTAAAGTATATACAGGGTGTCCCAAAAGTCAACGATATCCTTTGGAGGACTGATAGACCAACTCATGACTAAGCAGAAAATCAAAATATGACCTTTGTAAAAAATCGTTAGTTTTTGAGATATAGTCATTTTTATGAATTTTATTAAACTTGACACCTTAGATCAGTTTTTAGAGTGCCACAGCTACAAAATCTACTATTAATTTAATTTTGAATTGTAATTAATAGCAGTCCTATTCAGGGTTACTCAAAATAAAATATAATCTAAGAATATAGAATGTTGTAGTTGTGGCATTCGAAAAACTGATTTCATGTGTCAAGTTTCACAAAATTCATATAAATGCCAATATCGTAAAAACTAATGATTTTTTACTAAGGTCATGTTTTGATTTTCTGATTAGTCATGAGCTGACCTATTAGTCCTTCAAAGGATATCGTTGACTTTTGGGACACCCTGTATAAAATATGAAAATAGAACATTATAGACCAGGCGGAGAAAGCACATATTATCGCCTATCATACATTTCACTGCTTAGGCGATTAATAGGCTTTCGCCGCCGTGTTTTATAAACTATTTTTTTTAAGTATTTAATTAAATAATTTCTTAAGATTCTATGCCATCAATTTTAGGTTAGGCTCAACTGACATGATGACATTTTAGCTTAATTTCGGTACGGGGTTTAATAATAATTTGACTTTTAAACTAGTGTTTATATGTTTTTTTTTATAGACTTATGAGTCTAATAATATCAAAATTATTGTACGCTTAAAAAAAACATATTTTTATAGTATTACACAAATTATACAATAGTGTGCTGTGAAGAATGCCGTTCTCTGATTTGTTTATTGCGTTGTATAGAAAATAATTCTGAAAATTTCAAGAAACACCCCTATATATATAAAATAATTAAACTGTTTTATGTATTGAAAGATACAAAGTCAAAACCCTAATCTCATCATCAAAGACACAGACAGAGTGTTAATCGCGTTTTCTTTCATGGCTTTTGCGATATAATGACACTATTAAGCATCAAACCGCATTAAGGGTCGAAGAGGGCCTTGCTTCCTACAATTAGGGACCCCACAACCCTCTTGTTTTTACCGCCCTTAACGCGACCGAAGGCTTAATTGGCGAATCAGCTTCTTGCAGCGCACACTCGACGATGTTAAACGTCAAATATTCAAGAGTAATGCTATTTTTTTACAAAAAGAAGACGAATTAGGCCATATAATTAAATATAAATCGGGTTTTGTCGAAAAATAAGATTTTTTTGAAATTATGATTAATTTTTACAAAAAATAACAAAAAATTCCTTAAAATTATGTTTTATGAAAGGTTTTTATATACATATACAATGTATTATACATGTTTCAAATTTTGTGGGATTCAGTACTGAAGCGCCATCTATCGGACACCTTGTGAACACGATTTTACCTGCGCGATGCTTAGGTGAAAACTGGTTCAGCTGAAGAAAGTTAAATGGGTATGGTTACGTGTTTTGTATGATTGTTCCTAGATGGTGTGTTTAACAGGTATTGTTTGAAACCTTTTACTTTTGTTTTATTTTATGTGTGTGAAATATAGTTAAAATTATTTTTTTCCAGTAAAAATGTAATTAACATAAATATTAGTATAATAATAATTCTATTCTACATTAAGTATATTGAAAAAAATAAAAGCGTAAAATCCATTTAAACTGTAAAATATTATGCAGAATAATGCGAATTTTTAAATGAAAACAAAAAGAAATAATTTAAAAATTTACAGAAAAATTATTCAGTCATTAACAAAATGAAGAAATCTAGAAAAATCATTAAAAAATAGTATTATATGTCAAGTTTGATAAAAGCAATTTTAGATACGAATTTAATTAAGGCTTAATTAATGAGTGACTAGAAAAGTTTATAAACGAGTATACTATACTTTATCTATTTTGCGTTCATGACTTCATTATATCACCGCTTTCGAAGCTGTAATGAGATATTTTATCCCACCCAAAATTTTAATTTTATAGGTTGACTATACTTTAAACAGCTTAATATTTTGCAAATTGGTTATAATATTTGTATGGTTTTCTAGTACTTACTAGACTTTTCTGGCAATAAATTTTGTTTAACACCAAAGAAAATCCTGTTTTTCTTCTTTAACTTTAACAGCCGCTTATTGAAAATAAGTAAATTAAGGACGGCATGGCGAATCGATTTTGACATTAACTGTCAAACCAATGACTGTGATATTATCTAAAAATGATTTAAATTGAATATTTGTATAGAGCGACATCTATGAAACAATAGAATTACCAACAAGTCAAATGTCAAATTTTTTTGTGTAAATTAAAAGTATCGCTTAAAAATAAACCGTTTAATCGGATGTAGAAAGAGTTTTTTACAGTGAAAGTAAAGAAAATGTTTTATTTGCACTCCACAGTTGAGTCTTTACCCGAAATGAAGTTAATTTTATTGCCGGCGAAATTAAAAGGTCAATAAATTAATTGTTCATATAAACTTTTCAAATATTGGCGCTGAGAAACTATTTAATACTTTTACTTAAAACTAACTTCAGTCCGTGATTAATACGCTATGAAGCCACAATTTGTCAATGTGTATTTAAAAGGTCACTTAGTGTCAGGGAAACATGTACGATAATGGGATTTTTAAAGGTGGGAGTAGAAAAAAATATTTTATATATATTTTATTGTGTTTATAAAATGTAAAAATGTGACATTTGACAGTTTCCCCTGTTGTTTCATAGATGGCGCTCTATACAAATTTTTGATTTAAATCATTTAAAGATAGTAATAAGTATTTGTCGTAGAAAAAGTATAGTATGCACCTTGTTTATAAACTTTTCTATACACTCATTAACTCAAGCACTCGCTCGCAAGCTCGCTCATGCCTAAATTAAATTCGTGTATAAAATGGCGTTTATCAAACTTGATACATAATATACTATTATACTATACTACTAAAAATTATAGAAAATGAGCTGAAATTAAATTTAGATATTTTACCAATACTTATTATCGTAATATCGAAAGGAAATATATGTTTTAGTGGATAAAATAATCTTGTTTTTGTTAAAACTTTATTTTTTTTAAATAACAGTACTTGTACACTTAAAAGGAATAATAAAATAATGATGAAACAGAATTCCAAAGAAACACCGAAAAACTGCATTTAAATCAACATCCGTTCTTATAGAATAGCAGAAAATAAAACCAAAAATGAGTCTTCTCTAACGAACGGCACCGAAAACCAATAATTCATCTACTCATCCATTCCATTGAAGAAAACAGTACAATGCCCATGGGGCACTGTGACACGCATTCACAAAAACATTTACGACCAAATTTCGGCAAAACTGAAAGGAAATCAGATGCTACCGTTTACCTACTCCTACCCCAGAATGTGAATGCACCGCACGTAATCCACATGCCGCGTTCACATTCTGAAAGTTAGGGATGGGATAAAGTGATCATGGCATGGTTGACACCTCTGTACGAACCGCCCGCTGTGTCTAAAGTGACGGCTACACGCTAAAGCTCTATCCGAGGGGTTTAAACATGCTTCACGGCTCCCTCAGAGGCCCTTTGTGATCTTTATGGAGACATTACGTTCCTTTAAATCACGAATCTAACACAAATCTCGAGGTGGCAAGATTAAATGTTACAGAAAAAGAGATCATCCCCCAATAAAAGAATTTTAATTGCTAAATTTAACAATAAATTATAATGATAACCAAAATTTTGTATGTTTTATTTAATAGGGGTTGTATATTTAATGTCACAAACCGATAGTTCATTAAAGAATTTTACTTCCTCATAATATATTTTAGGATTCTTTAATTTGTTTTGAAATATAAATAATTTTTTGTATTTGTATGCATTTGATATATCTAAAAAAAAGTACATTATTTAAAGAGAAATAAGAAATTTCACAAAATAATTTAATTTTGTTTAACTCGACTTAAGCAGTATTTGTGTAACTTTATACACTTTTGCTTTGTTAATAATACATTGTTTTAAATACATTGTTAACGAGGAGTAAAATTAGTATTTAAAAAAAAATCATACAAAAAAACTTTCTTATTGTTTTAGATAACTCTAAATCATATAATATTAGAACATAACCTTATGAAAAATTTTATTTTGACAGATTTGACGTTTTCAGTATAAAATACTAGGACATACATTTAAAGTCTTTTTATCTATTTTGCGTTCATAATGACTTCATTATAACACCGCTTTCGATGCTGTAATTTTATAGGTTTGCTATACTTTAAACAGCATAATATTTTGCATATTGGTTTTAATATTTTTATGATTTTTCTATTACTTACAAGACTTTTCTGGCAATAAATTTTGTTTAACACCAAAGAAAATCCTTTTTTTCTTCTTTAAGATTAACAGCCGCTTATTATAAATAAGTAAATTAAGGACGGCATGGCGAATCGATTTTGACATTAACTGTCAAATCAATGACTGTAATACCAACTATCTAAAGTAAAATTCGACCAAATTAAATTTAAGGAATAAAATTAATTTTTTTATTGAATTTTTGCAAAATAGATAAAATAGCATAAAGAACTCATGCCATAGGACCTTTTGTCGCACTCGTCCGCGTACGACGAAATGACGTCTTATTACATTAGTCCTTTAATTTACTATTGCGGGGACCTACATTTGAGCGAAGCACAAAAAGACTTTACTTGGCCATATGGCATACAACATTTCTTCTTTAAGGTAAAATCGTATTTGTTAAACGATACATAAAACAAAGTAGTAAGTAAGGTTAGATAGATCTGACAGAAGTCGAATTTTATATTGGTCGAAAATAGTTAACAATAAATTTATATAGATCGATTAAAGATAAATAGTTGTTTTATGTCATATATGACAAACTTTGAAGACCGATGCGTAGCAGAGCCATACAATTGAGCGAAG